GGGTCTCCCCTACCTTGGGTTTAGAGAGCACAGGGGGTGAAGATAAGTATCGTTCCAGTTCCTCGAAGGCCTCCTGACACTCTGAAGTCCACTGGAAACCGGCGGTCTTTCTCATGATCTAGAAGAAGGGTAAGGACTTCTCCGCCGATTTTGATAGGAAGCGGTTGAGGGCTGCCAGGCGGCCCATCAACCATTGGACCTCCTTCACGTTGCGTGGGGGTTCCATGTTGATGGCCTGGATTTTCTCGGGGTTGGCCTCGATACCCCTTCGGCTCACCATGTAGCCTAAGAATTTGCCTCCTTGTATGCCGTAGGTGCACTTCTTCGGGTTTAGCCGAAGGTTGAACTTCTGCATGATGGCGAAGATCTCCCTTAGGTCGTCAGCATGGCTGGAGGATTGTTTGCTTTTGACGATCATGTCGTCAACATACACCTCCATGGTGCGCCCCAGGACGGCCTGAAATACCCTGACCACCATCCGGGTGTAAGTGGCGCCTGATTTTTTCAGGCCGAAGGCCATGACAAGGTAGCAGAAGATGCCCTCGCGAGTCATGAAGGCTGTTTTTCGGCGTCTTCCTCGCGCATGAAAATTTGATGATACCCTCGGAAGGCATCGAGGAAGGACATGATTTCGCACCCCGCGGTCTCATCTACGAATTGATCAATGTTTGGTAAATGGAAGGGGTCCATGGGGCACGCCTTGTTGAGGTCCGTGTAGTCCACGCACATGCGGAAGGTGGGAGGCTTTTGTGCGAGGACTACGTTTGCTAGCCATGAGGGGTATTTTACCTCCTTGATATGCTTAATAGAGAGGAGCATGACGACCTCTTTCTTCACAAATTCCCTCCTTTCGGCCGAGAGGGGTATTCTCCGTTGTTGTACTGGTTTAGCCGAAGGGTCCACCGAGAGGCGATGGGTGATGACCCTTCGGCTGATCCCCGGCATGTCCTCCGCCCCCCATGAAAAAACAATGGAGTAGGCGCGGAGGGCGTTGATGATGCCGGTCTTCAAGTCTTCGGGGAGCTGGGCTCCAATCTTCACGACTCTCTCCGGCTTGGCCGGATCGAGCACAAAGTCTTCTACGTCCTCGGCCGGTTCAGCTCTCGGCCTCTTCTCCTCCTCTTCAATAGCCCCGGTGATAGTGTCAACACGGAACTCAGTTTTGCTAACCTTCTTCGTCACTAGGAGGTAGCAAGCACGGGCAAGCTTCTGATTTCCCCTCGAGTAGCCGATGCCCCCTTCGGCTGGAAACTTGAGGCAGAGGTGCCTCATGGAGATGATGGCTTCGAGATCCTCGAGGGCTGGGCGGCCAAGGATGATGTTATGGGCGCAATCGATGTTGACGAAGACGAATTCCACTTCGAGCTTGGCTCTATGGAGCCCGTCGCCGAATAGTACCGGGAGGGTTATGACCCCCTCAGAATCAATGGTGTCACCGGTGAAGCCGACAAGAGGGGTCTTGATGGGCCGAAGGGACCCCCTCTCCAGATGCAGCTCTCTGAAGGTGCTGAGATACATTACATTGATGGAGCTTCCCGTGTCAACGTAAGTTCTGTGGATGATAGTATCATTGATCTCCGTACGGATGACGAGGGCATCCCTGTGCGGAGAGGAAACAGAGGGGAGATCGGCATTTGTGAATGTGATGGGCTCCTCCCTCAGCCGCTTTACCGGGGGCATATGAGTGACTTCCCCCACGTATAACGATTGAGCCCACTTCTTCCGTTGGCTGGTGGAGTCTCCCCCTGTATTGCCACCGGTGATCATGAGGATGTGGCGCTTCTTCTCTAGGCCGTGGGGGCACTCTACTTCTTCCTCTTCCAAATTCCCGATCTCCCTCTTCCTGCCGAGGGGGATGGTGTTTGGGTTAACCCAAGCGTTTGCTTTCGTTGGGCACCCTCGAGGTGGACCTTGGTAGGGAGGACCCTGTTGCTGAGGGCCTTGGACGAACTGGGACAGATGGCCCGCCTGTATTAACCTCTCGATGGCTGTCTTCAGCTGATGGCAGTCATCGGTTTTGTGCCCTTGATGTCGGTGGAAGCGATAGTAGGGGTAGTTTGGATTGATGGCATATACCTCCGGGGGTGCGCGAGAATCTCGCTCCACCAGACCCCTCTCCTCAGCGAAGTCAAGAATGACGCTGACAGGGTGCGTTAAAGGCGTCTGTGGATGCTCCAGGAAAACAGGTTGCACCCAAGTCTTCGGGTTACCCTTGTAACCTCCCCCGGGCTTGGCTTGGCCGTGCCGGGGGCGATCACCGGGGTGGTGCCGAACCCTTTGGTTGATGATGAGGAGCCCCCGGCCCCCGGTTGCCTTTATCATCTGGCCGAGGGCGTTGCTGATCGGGGTTGTGATGGCATTTTTCCACCTCCTCGGCTTCGGCATATCTGTCCCCCTGCTGTAGGGCCCTTATGTAATCGCGGGGAGGTTCGATGATGAGGCTCCTTGAGAAGTTCCCGGGGTGGAGCACTCTTTGGAAGAGGGTCAAGAGCGTCCCGTCGTCTGCGCCATCAACTTTATCAGCCTCCGTTCTCCAGCGCTCCAAGAAGTCCCGAAGGGTCTCCTCTTTCCTTTGCCTCAGCGTCAACAAATGGGAGAAGTGTGTTCTTGTTCGGCGCCTTCCCGCAAACTGTGTCAAGAAACGCTGGGCAAGTTCTTGCCACGAATCAATGCTGCCTTCGGGTAACCGGTTGAACCATTCGTACGACGGCCCCTCCAAGGTGGAGAGGAACCAGCGGCACAAATATTCATCTGATGCCCCCACCATCATCATGCTATTTTGGTAGCGGCTGTAATGTTCCTAGGGCCCGTCTTTCCTTCATAGGGCCTGATGGGTTGCCCCCCGATATTTTTCCGGAATTTGGGCCGCCAATACCCTTGGGGTAAATGGCGTCCTAGTCCGGAGTTGGATGATAGGTTCCCCAGAGCCCTCGGTTATCTTCTTTTGCATCTCCTCCATCTTAACCAACATGGCCTCATACTTTAGATCTGTATGAGGGGCAGAGGTGGTTGCGTGTGCTTTGGTGGCCTCCATCTCATCGAGCCGGCGCTGGAGGGCCGCGATGATCTCGTCCCGAGGGTCCTTCGGGAGGGCCTCCGCCCCCTGCGAATGGACACGGGCCGAGTGGGCCTGGTTTATGTGGTGACGGGCATCGTCGGCATGGAGGGGTGCTTTGCCCTTGTTCTGGGGGGGGGGGGCTTTCATCTGCCCTGGACGACGGAACCCCCGCTCTCTTGAGGCCTTTGGAGCGCTTTTCCCCCGAGGCGGTCTTGGACCCCTCGACGGTCAGGGGCCCCTCCGAGCATGTCGAGGGTGGAGGCCCGGGGCCTCTCCTTGTTTGCTTTATGGCGGTCCCGGGATTGGACCTCCTGGGAGGTCGTGTCTTGGGCCTCGACCCCCTCGACGTTCCCAATCTGAAGGACAGGATTCCCGAGGGGATGTGGATGACGGGGAGGCATGATGTTCTCCGCGACCTGAGGTTGAAGGGCAACCAAAGTACAGAAGGCACCCGGGTTCTGGGTGAGTGTCTGGATGAAGGCGGAGAACGCCGATTGCACGTCGATAGTGAGGACCGGAGGGCTAACTTGGTTTTCGCTCCGGTCCTTCTTTTTGGCCTCGATGCCGAGGCGGGCATCGGGGGCATTTTGTTGAATCTGAAGGCGTAGGTCGACAACCATCTGTTCCAACCCAGCGAGGGCGCCGCCCTCGAGAGCCCTGTTAGAGGCTTCGGGGGCGTTGACATCGCTGGGGGCCAGGTTCTTGTCATCAACGTTCTTGGAGTTGGCACGAGTTGTTCTCACCATCTTTGATAGGTGTTTTGTGTTTTTCCGAGGGGGGGGGGGGGGGGGTTCTTACTTGATTGTTCGACCTCTCAACGATAGCACCAAATGATGGATAGTCTACCCGGGGGTATGTATCCGAAGGGTTACTACGGGGAGTAACTAGAGAGAAGTCAGAGCAAAAGTAAGAGAGAGAGAGTATATTGCTGAGAATGTAGTGTGCGTGTTTAGCTTGGATTACAAATGGGGAAAAGGGGCGCTATTTATAGTAGTAATAAATGCCAGATAGGGACACGTGTCATCATTCTGGTGGTCGAGGGGTCGCCTCAACGGGGTGGCACTGGCACTCGCATGTGGCCGTATTAAATGCGGTGGTTGGATGTGACGTTTGTACTTGGTACGTTGATCCAGCGCATGTGGGTGGGAGATTCTGTCGAGGAGAAGGCTGCGGTCGTGGATGATTGACCGAAGGCTCTTCCTTCGGGGGCCACCCTAGGTGCCGAGGGCTCTAGGTGCCGAGGGCTGCTGTCTTTACTGTTTCCTCCCAGTGCCTTCGTACGCTGAAAATAGCCTTTCTGTGAGTTTCAGGAGCCTTCGTCCAAGAGGCGGAAGGCACCCCCAGTGTGTATTGTTGGCTGCTTGGTACTCGGGGCGCTGTGATTTGGGCCTGTTGTGCTTCCTGGGCCTATTGGACCTTGGTTTAGAGCAGTAGGAGTCTATGGGCCGGGGGTCCATGGGCCATATACTCCATCACCTTAGTCCCAAAAGACACTAATTTTTGAAATTAAAGTGTAATAAATTAATTTTTTTTGAAAGTAAATTAAATATTTAATACACCTATAAAATTAAATATTTAATTTAAATATTTGATACACCCATGTTTCCATATCCAATTACATAGTCTCTCTTGAGAAATGAGAAATAATTTTAAAATAGAAAAGAAGCATTAAATCATTAATGATTAACAGGCACTCTTACGGAATACACTCTCTCACGCAGTGCATTAACACTATGGAGTGTCGAACTAAAGCTACGCGGATGAACACCTAATGAGGGCAATTTAGGAAAGTAGATATTTATTAGTTACATTTTTTGAAATTAAGAAAAAGGGTCGCTTTTTTGTCTATCATCTACTTTTTAGTACGAGTAATATTCATGTCAAAATCCCATATAATAGGACGGACGTAGTAATATAAATGCGGCTCTTTTATTTAAAAAAAACTTAGGTTTGCCTCCCAATTTGTTAGCTACAGATCTACATCTTGATAAATTTGTCTAATCTAAACTTCTATCGATCTCTGTCATCATTTTCATGCCAGGTCACCATATCTTTATTGTTGAATAAAAATAATGTCTGTCTCCTCGGCTCTTCCATAGACCCCGTAAACTGGGAGATCCTCTTATCGCTTTGTTACAGATTCTAACCTGAAATTCCGAGCAACCTCGACAAGAAAAGGTGAGTAGAATATGCGTCTACTCAAGGAAACTTCTTTGATATGATTCTAAGTAGCTGTCAGTGCCCAGATCAATCAAGAAAATAAAAACCAAACAATTCCCAGGCAAGATAAACGATTCATATCATCTCTCAAATCGGAATATCCCTCGGATTCCTGATCAATCTATATTTGTGGTTATAATTGTTTTACTTATATGTTTGCTGACATTGATGCTGGAATTTATACCGCTGAATTGGTATCATATCATATGCATCTCTGAACTGAGTTAACCTTTGTCCGAGTCCCACCCATATCATCATATCTCATAGGTCCCTATAAACGGTCAAGTTTTGGTGACAGTTTTAAATTAAGCATTAACAACAATCTTGTTTATAAAGAGTGGGTTCGTGGTTTCTAAAGAAATTGAACTTGAGTTTCGGATCAGCCACTTGAGCTCTGTCTACAGGCTTAGTATCAGCATTTAGTAGTATGAGTATCGTTATTTGTTTTTCATTGCTTATTATTAGACTTTAGCTTTTAGTTTTGTAACTAAGGTTCTTGTAATTGCTATAATCAGGTTCTCTGTATTGTTTAATAATGTGCCCTTACAGAAATAATTGATTCTTGGGTGTCTTGACTAGATTCCATATCCATTAGTTCTACCTTAGGCTTAAAACTCTCTTCTCTCAATATCAGCTTGACCTCTCTTTCACCTATTCCAATCCTGTGATGAGATTTCTACCAAGCTCATACCACAAACATTACGATATACTAATTAGCTTAGATATCTGGATGTTGGAACTATGAATCATTTTACTAGCAACCATAAACTGCTATCCCAATTATTGGCTTCTCAAAGTCGAATACACACCCCATACACAGGTGAGAGAAAACATCAACTAATGATGATGCCTTTGGTGACTGTTTTTCTTTTCCCTCATGTGTCATCTTTCCTTATTAACTGTAGGATCGATAATAGAAGGTGTAGGCACATCAAAGGGAATGAATAGGAGCAATTCGGAAAGGGCATCAACCTATTATGCAGACTGCAGACAGGACATATTTATATTCCTAGGTGATGTGGGGGCATTGTTTCCAGATATAAACCTCAACTTATTATGAAATTCATTTACTTAACCGGACATTTTAACCAATCCCATGCCAAACTGACAAAGTGAGTTCTGGATTTTGAATTGATAGAGATGATGAAGAGGCCTCCATCCCTCTCATACAAGGATTTGGCAATTTGACTTCTTTATTAATTCAAAATCTCAAATCACTTAATGAGTTTAAGACATCATCCAGTTACTCCTCCCTTCCTGTCTACTAGGGTGTACATTTGAGCTTCATTTTTATTCAGTTCGGTTTAGGACGGCTTTTGAGTATAATTACCAAATTAATACCAAATTACTACATTTTCTTGATGAGCAATAATTTCATCATTTCTGAATTAGCATGTAAAGGTTTTGCATGATGATTTGTGTAGAAAATAGCTAGATGGCTGACAGCAGCAAAGAAGTAGAGCCCTTGTTAGATAAATTGCCCATAAGTAGTCCCGCTGTTGGTGATTCCAGAAGAAGAAAAGGTTTGCTGCGATGTAAAAGTGCACCTCTGAGAGGACTGCTGGTTCACAAAGAAAAGAATGACCCCAAAACACTCCTAGGATCCGGGTCCTTTTTCGATAACGTCCACCCGAACTTCAAGAGAGCGATCCTATACTTGCTGATCTACTTGGGTATAGGCACCCTTTGTTTCTATATGGTCAAGGACCATATCAAAGGAGAGAAAACAGATGGAGTCCTCGACTCGGTTTACTTTGTCGTGGTGACAATGACAACCGTTGGATACGGTGACCTTGTACCCAACAGCGACCCCGCAAAGCTGCTAGCTTGCATTTTCGTCTTCTCTGGAATGGCTCTGGGAGGACTATTTCTGAGCAAAGCGGCAGACTTTTTGGTGGAGAAGCAAGAGAGGCTATTGATCAAGGCATTGCATTTGCGCCACAAGGTCGGCCCGAGTGAGATCATGAAGGAATTTGAAACAAACAGGGTGAGATACAAGTGCGTGCTGACAACGTTGTTTCTAGTCCTGCTTGTGGTTGTGGGAACCGTGTTCCTAGTCCGCATTGAAAAACTGGGCATCGTCGATGCCTTGTACTGTGTTTGCTCTACAATTACGACGCTTGGGTACGGGGACAAGAGCTTCTCGACCAAGGGAGGGCGCGTGTTTGCTATATTTTGGATATTGCTTGGGACCATCTGTGTGGCTCAGTTCTTTCTGTATGTCGCGGAATACAACACTGAAAGCAGACAGAGGGAACTGGTGAACATTGTTCTTTCCCGAAGAATGACCAATGTGGACTTGGAGGAAGCTGATCTCGATGATGATGGTGCTGTTGGGTGAGAATTTTATTTCTTTCCTTCCATTTCTATATTAACTATTGCTACTTCCATCCCAATTCAGGTAAATCTTATTTTTATCATTTCAACTATTGGAAACCAAAACTAGAAGAAGTTGTTGGGATGGATGGAATATGATTGTTATTGTTAACTTGACTTTTAATATGATGACGAGTTCATAAAGGGTGGCTGAATTCGTGATATATAAACTGAAGGAGATGGGGAAGATCACGCAAGCAGACATTTCGCTTGTCTTGAAGGAATTCGAAAGTCTTGATGTTGACCAGTCTGGAACTTTGACTTCTTCAGATTTGACGCTCGCTCAGTTATCTTTAACGCCCCACTGATTCTTGCCCGATTTCCGCTACCATCATGAAATCATCAGCTCTTCTTTGAACCGTCTCGTCGGATCTCAGCGAGCTGGAACGGAGCCCGCCTTCACAGTTCATAATTTGACGGTTGTAAATACATAAACATATACGGAGTATATGTGTAAAGTACAGTATTTGTCAAAGTATTTGTATTGGTTGACGTGTTAAAGAATTAAAATGAATTGTGCGTTGACTTTATGTCTATTTGCTCTATACATTCTACCCATTTTTTTTGAGTAATAATTTATTTTCTTTCTGAAGTTACGTGAACATATCATTCATGTGTATTGCGTTCCGAGTTCAACGATGTAATATGCAGTAATTAAAATAAATGGGAAGCTCTTTGGTGCACTTACATTGGAGTATGTTTTGGTGCACTCAAACACATGGCTAAATATTATTTGATGTTTATTCCACATCAGCTATTTGTTTAAAAAATTCCCAAATTGTCGAAGTAATCCCTGGACTACATGATATTTGTAATCCCCTCCCGAAGACATGTCTGGTTTCCCCTTCTGCGGTTCTCATTCTTAGAACTGCCTTATCTCCCTCTCATTCAACTCATTCAATCGCCTCCTCCGCATCTGCAAAATCTTATAGGCTTTCCAAACCTTATCTCAACAAAGCTCCGTAAGCTTCGCTTTTAATTTACTTATTTCTTCCCTTAAAATCCATCATATTGCACTAATTTTTGTTTGCTAAAATTATTAGCGCAAATTTTCATTTCGGATTATGAATTGATGTTGTCCGCTATTTGATAGATGTTGTTAAGTATCAGAGTTCAGCTGGGCAAGATTTGTGAAAATGGTGCGGTGGGCTCTTTCTAGACTCTTCATTTTCCATGGAAGTTCTGCTCATCGTTCAGGTGTTATAGGCTTATATCTGGTGGATGGAAGAGGACTTTCAAGTAGGAAGCTTTTTTGAAATTGTCAATGGATGTATGTATTCTACAAACAATATCATCCAAGCCTTATTCGTAAAAACTTTAATTAGAATATTTACACCTAGCCATCCAGGTTCGTATGTGCGAGCAATTGGAGACCCTGAAATAAAGGAACAAAATTCCAGATTTTCATTAGAGGCTCGGAACCTCTACAACTAACACGGGTAAGAAGCTCAAAAAATGGGTAGCCCCAGGCTGGTTGATTGCAATGACCTTTCTTGCTTCGGTGATATAAGCAGAGGACAGATTCTCCCAGAGGGGTGCAAATTTGAAGTACCTTAGAAGGTAAATGAATCGTGCTGGCGTTTTTTTACATCTGATTCTTTCTATCTGATTTGTTTGGATCTATCTAAATTGTTAAGCTATAGTTTCATTTGTACTGGATCTTTTAATCTGTTGTAATTCAATCTTTATGATCTTGTATGAATACTTGATTGAATCTTCATGATATTATGATCTTAGTTTAGTTTGGCTAGAAATCTAATGCGAAAGTTGAGCATGTAGATGATGTTGTGTTTTGTGAATTTATATTGCAATACAACTCGCAAAAAATATGTTTTGTAGATGATGTCATGTAAATGATGTTATGTTCTGTGATTTGTGCACTTGCTTTTTTTGTTTTTTTGTTAACTATAGCTTTTTAATGTCTTTTTTATGTATTAGACATTTATACATTATTTGCTTCAAGGTCCACCTTCTTTCATGTTTTGTCCTTTCTCTAATATTAATTTTTTATAGCCTAACTTCGTTTCTAAAAATGAAGTTTCTTTAAAAACATACCGGACCAAACAACTCTCTTTATGGATTTATATTGCAATACAACTGGCAACAGACAACTCTCTATATGGACATTTCATTGGTGCAACTGCTCTACACAGTGAGGAAGAGGTCAAGAGGAACCTTACGACTCCCTTGAAGAACTTATCAAAACTGCAACCCACAATACATTTTTTATTTTTGTCATTTCCTATTGTTTCTTGGGCTTGCAAACTTCGCAGTTGCAACAATTTTCCCTACAAACAAAACTGGTCTTCATCTAGTACAAAATAGTTATCCTAGTAACTTTATGATTAGATATTTTGGTATTATTTCTGATAAGCATTTACTACTTATTAAATTTCAATTCCTTTTTATGTAAACTGACATTCATGCTAGTATATGGAATCTTACCCGGTCAATGAACACTCGATGGACTTGGTGCAAAGTCACTACCTCACTATTGAGACAGTACCTTAGACAATGGGATATCATCATTCAATTCTTACTGCTTAGCCTCTCTGGTTAGGCTTGAATCTGTTGGCAATCAATATGGTCTCTGTGAACATTGAGTTTATGCACAAGACAAACGTCCTCACATGTATGTATGTTCTTTGTCCTTTAATATGTACTACGTATAATTTTGTAGGTTGAGCGTGAATCATAAGGCCCATGTGAGAGGTGTGGGAGATGAAATTTGATCGGAATTACCGAATTATTGTACATGCTTAGAGTGCAAGTGTGTGGCTGGCTAAATTGGAAATCTGTGTTGAGATACTTAATAAAATATTTAAAGGAGGGGTTCTGAATAAAATAAAGGAAATATAATCTATAAAATGATTACACATATTTCCTCATATGAGTATTTAGCAAAAAATAACTTTTGTACTACATACTCTATACTTTTCTAGTTTTCTTTATTATTAGATTCAACCATAACACTCGAGTTTGGTATAAAATGTGACTCATCTTGTCTTACAAATGGCAGATGACCAAAGTTCCCGCCATATGGGCCTACGGCACCACCATAAACCTCCATAGACTACCGTAACCCGTCACTCTTCTAAAGTTTTGTAGGATGCCTGCTTTATTTTGGCCATGGCCTTCATTGGGCAAGACTGGACTGATCACGCTAAGAGAAAACTCACACTTTTATTTCCACTGGCGTTTTTCATGCATTAACACTGTTGTCTCCATTAAATATCCCAAACCAGAATTCACGTTCTTTTCATAGTCTCATTAACACACGTTGAATTTGCTTGAATAGGTTGAGTGGCTTCAGTAATGCAAAGAAAGATGAGACGTCACAAGCCACAAAAGTTATTCAATCGGTGTAAAGTTGGTTAACCAAGATGCACCAGTTGTAGTTTGAGAGGGTGAATGCATCTTTCATTATACATCATAAAAACTTGTATATCATACATGTTCGGGTGACGTAGCCTGCATGTATCTTTTCAAAGATTTAGATCTTTGACATATCTAGCAATATGCTTTATAGTTATATTGTAAATGTACAACACAATTAACATTATTGATTATAATATGACTGAGCATTTGCTGCAGTTGAATATCCCTGTAAAGATCTTTATAGGGATATTCAAGGATTTCAACTGTAAAGAGGAAGAGATTTGGTGCATATTCTTGATTGCAGGTGTGGAGTCTTTGGTGGTGCCAGAATGAAAAATTATGGAAAGGCAAGCCTTTTACAATTGTCCAGGTAGAAACTCTTGCTTCAGCTTCTCTTGAAGGCTGTCGCAGAGCACAACCAGCAGCAAAAGGTAAGGAATCAGTAGCTTTGGATGCTTCCGGGTGGAGAAAACCAGATACAGGCGGAATTAAAATTAATACTTATGCTGCTGTGAACCGCGGTGCAGGAATTATTGGCCTGGGTTGCTATTCCTCGAAAAGGTGTATGCTTACTGAAAGGCTTTATCGATGAGAGAGGCGCTCAGCTGGATTAAGGTAGCTGGTCTGGACCAAGTTGACGTGGAATCAGACGCTTTACAATTGGTTCAAGGAATCCAATCAGCCCCAAGCCCCCGACTGAGTCTTCTTTTGGTTTATTGATAAACGATATCAGCAAATCAGGCGGCCCATTATATGGCACGGGCGGTTGTTTCTATGTCTGATAGCTCTTTATTGCAACATTTTCCTCCTCATTGTGGGAGTATTGTAAATGATTGCTAATTAGTACCATTATTATTTAACTATTATGAAAACTTCTTAATTACTTGGTCGTAGTATATATGTGATATAACTATATTTCCTTGATATAAATTTTTATAAGTGATTATTGCTTTTTTAACCATTGATCGGGTTGTATGCGGTAGGGAAAGCATTAATAGATACCACACATGAATATTAACTCGAACCCATGAGCAAAAAATGTTGAAATAAGGGCATGAATGTTACTACTTACTAGTAGAATTTTGTTGTAAAAATGTGACTCTTTTTCATATTGACAAAAAAGTGACTTCATAAGATGTAAAATATCACAAATTCATTATTTTATAAGGAAAGTGGCAAAGTTTTGGAACAAACAAAAAAAGAAAGTTGGCAAAGTCAAATAGGATAAAGGGAGTAATTTGATAGAAATGGTACATATAAATTATCGGATACAGAGAAGTACAATCAATGTATTATACAATATTTATCCTAGGAGTGTGATCATTTCATATCGCTTCTGCAATTTCATCTTTACCACTCATTCTCTAACTTCTTGTGTTCTTCCCTTTCCATTCTCTAGCTTCTTGTCTTTCATCCCACCGTAGTGTCCACACAAGAGATAGAACTATTATCCATCACTACAGTCTACAAATGGTTCACAAATGATTAAACAATATTAGCACTATGAGCATATATCACAGAATATAGAAATACGTCAAGCATTAGCATCATGTACTTATACCATAACTAATCCGAAGGTAAGACAAAAAAGCTCATATAGAAACCCACATTGCATTCCCATAATTCCAGTTAAGTTTCTTATTCGTCAGTATTATATAAAAACAACAACACCTACATGTATGATAATACAAAAAATAAAAAGTTAATGTTATTAAAGATTCTTACAATGTAGTCAAACTTACCATTTTAACTCCCATCATAAGTTGACTGACCCAAATTATTCCAATGCCCACAAGGAGTATTCTGCATTACATTAATGTATGGATTGGTAAAATATGATTTAAATAGATTATCACTTACTTTTAAAGCTTTGAATGATTATTTAGCGTGCTTTTAAGCTTTATTGTTTGTGTACCTCTCTAGATGTGAACATTCCATAATGTCATTATTTAATTTCTTACAAACATAGTACACTACCATTTCGAGCAGTTGGAATAAATTACCGGCACCTATCCAATGATTTTAAGCATAGGAAGACTACACACGACACGAAAGGATAGCCATGTACCAAAAATGGACAAAGCCACAGACTGAAATTGATGCAATTCTCATAGGTTCCAAATTGGACTTTATTCTTATTCTAAGAATAAAAGAAAGCCATATACACACATTATTCTTATCTTCCTCTATCTTTTCCTTCCAAATTTTCTCTCCCTGGGATTTTCTGGTTTGCAGTGGACCTTATCTCCCAGGGAATGAAAATAACAACTACCTATATACAGAATAGGCATACCATATT